CCGATACCTGTTCCAGCGGGGGTCCAGCCAAAATCTTGTCGTGTCCTGTTTGGGGTCCCGTGAACACCAGCCCTTGCTCCGTCGGGGGTTCCACTGACACCAGCCCATGTTCCGTCCAGGGTCCCGTCTATGCCTGACCCGCCAGGGGTTCCACCAGCTCCTGCTCTCGATCCCAGTGCTCTGGCGATCCAGCTGACAATGGAAGGGTCCCCCTGAGTCCCCTAGCAGCGGCCTTCGCCCTCGAGCCTGGCCCCCTGACTCTTCCAGCCGCTGACTTCGCCCTCATGCCCGGCCCCCTGAGTTCGCCCGCTGTGGCCTTCACCCCTTTTTGAACGCTGCCTTGCCCCTGGGCCGTCCGCCCGAGACCCCCACCATGAACTCTGCCTTGCCCCCGGGCCGTCCGCCTGAGACCCCCACCATGAACTCTGCCTTTTCCCCTGGGCTGTCCGCCCGAGTCCCCCTTCTCGGCTTCTGCTGTTCCCGCGGGCCGTCCGCCCGAGTCCCCCTTCTCGACTTCTTCTTTGCCCCGGGATGTCGGTCTTAGTTTGTTCTAGTTAACCTTTAAATAAAGGTATTATCTGTGACATCTGCATTTGGGTCCTGCCTGCTTCACTCACCCTGACACATTTCTCATTAATATGGGAGTGTAGGCTGTGGGAGTTAAAGAAGACACGGTTTAAGTGCCGTTATTGCCTCCACAAATATAACCTTAAACACTATAAAGGCTGAGTGCTGAACAGGCTCCATTAATGAGGCTCAACATATCATCATGCAACTGAAAGTCAATGTCCCCCCAACATTTGTTTTTGTTTATAACATGCCTTACTCTTGAGTTTATTGACACTTTGAAATATTTCCTGTGAAGTTTTGCTTTCAACTTATGAGTCACACTTTTCCCTTGAGCTGAATGTAGACAGCTGAAATGTGACGCTTTTGTGAGAATAACCCATTTCATCTCACTCTCTTTTGTCCATCTCTCCCTCAGCTCTCTTGGGCAACAAGCAGGAAGTCGATGATAGATGCCCACTCGGCCATTTCCCATGTGGGAACATGAGTGACTGCCTCCCACAGGCTCTGCAGTGTAACGGACACAAAGACTGTCCCAATGGAGCTGACGAGCGCCGCTGTTGTAAGTGGGTTTTTTTTACATTAAAATGCCATGTCATTTGAGACTTGTCTCATCAACATACACAGGATGGGTAAGTAAAAATGTTTGCCGGAGAGAGATGCTCCAGAATGCACTTCACAACACATACTCCACATGTCTTACTTCATTATATCAAGAGCAACAAAAGTAGATTCTCACATTTAAAACTGCAGGGCAAAGGATAAAATAGAAAATATAACTATCGTGTAAAATACGTAAGAACAGAGATTCAGATCAAGCACATTGTGACCCCTGGTTCTTTCCGACTAGTTAAAAGTCCCCAAGGTGATCAGCAGGAAGTGGAAAAGCGTGGAAAATATGTGCTCTTTGAAACATGTTCCGTGCACATGAGCCATCAAGAGGGATTTATTACATTTAGTACATATTAACTTCCCTAAAAACATGAATATAAGAGGATTTTCTAACAGGATCCCATTTGACGACCCTTCAGGTTCAAAGTGCAATTAATTAATACATCGTAAATATGATTAATGTACGTTACACTTGCAGTTGGCACAGATAATGTGCCTCAACAGGAGACGCTACCCACCAGTATTTCCACCACACCGGACCTGTAAACCTTCTACTCCCAGCGATCCAAAGCTTTTGTGCTAGCAGGGTAAACAAAACCATTACAGAGCTAACGGCTAACACCCTGACAGGAAAGGGAAATCCAGAAAAGTGTTTTCCATAAAACTTGATCCAGGTTCAACACACTCAACTTTAAACTGGATAGTTGCCCAAAAAATGAAAGGTTGGCATCTCTTTGGAGGTCTTATTGCTGAAATTCAGCCAGAATCAAGTTGTGGATACAGCTGTCTCTTTGTAAAAGCAAGAGCCACAACTCGGGTTATTTACAGTCTTAAGATAAGAACACTTTGACAGTTTGTGCCTTCCTCTATTCACAGGAGAACAAGCTCTTAATCTGTCACTCGAAACATAAAGGCATCTTTTTCAGTTAACTACATTTTGACAGTTTAATATAATGATGTGCCACCTGTGACTTCCCGGTCAACGAGTGGATTCCAATGAATGTCATGATAAATCAGATTTATGTAAATCTGGTTTCTGAACCGTAACAGCCCCTTCAACTTTAACATTAAATAAGATTAAGAATTGAGGATGACAGGTGTGTTCATAAACCAAAGGCACTAGCGGGCGATGATTATACACTCAGCATGTGTTCAAAGCAGGGGTCCTTGTATATTTAGCCCAGGGGAAAAGGTGATTCAGATTTTTACCCAGTATTCCCTCCATTTTATGCAAACATTTCAATCTACTTATTCTGTGATTTTAGAAGCAATTTAGTCAAAAAAAATATTGTTTCGAATATTTTTTTTAAGCAATTTTGGC